CAGGGGTCAGATTCTATTCTTAAATGGGGACCAGATACGTATGATTGCAGTTGTCTTGTGATCAGTTAATCGAAAATGTTCGTTCGCCCAACTTGACTATCTGAATACAAATGAAACAGTAATGTATAAATGGATATTTTGTTTTAATAGTCTACAATTTGGACGGAAAAGATAAAAGGGGCTGTCGGTTTCTGTGTTCATTGCGAGTTTTTCTTGTAACCTCAGGTTATACTCTTTGTACTAATTCACAGACTTGAATATCACTTATTCCGCGGAATATTGCTCTGTTGAGGCAACATTTTAATCGGCAGCATGTTTATTGTTATCTCCTATTCTACGTGTTTGTGCAATTTTAAATGCGTTACGCGCGATTAAGCAATCTATAGATTACTTAAACGATTTTATTTTATTTATTTTTATTTTAAAAATCCTTAAGAAGTCAGTAGTTCATATAGGCGAGTTGTAAATTATCCTGTTTACTTGCGGTTAGCCCTACTGCATGATTTAATTACTTTTATATCGTGCCGTTGAAAAAACGACAATGTCTCTACTGAAAAATTATTCAGTTGGAAATTTCTCTGCAAAACCATGGGCGCACTGTACTAAAAATGAGTTTGGCAGAAAGAGGGCTACCTATAGTCCTTCACAGCTCCGCTGCACCGGCGTGCGTCCTTTAATTCTGAGGAACGAACAGGCATATCGATTAGCCTGTGTCACACGTTCGTGGCAAAGGTCGTGTTCTGGAAGCCTGCGGACTATATTTTTTGTTGCCGAAGTTGGCCGCACGGCGCAGCTGTCTTGTAGTTAGAAAGAAGGACAAAGGCTCCGCTGCCGATTCGGACAGTGCACACTTGTTTTGCTCTCAGGGGAGTATAGATATCTCTATTAGCTAATGAGCAATGTTTAGCCCCTGATATCATTTTTCAGTCTATTCAGTGGCATGTCAGTGGCACCAAAGTAAGCATGAAAAATGTCATATGTGTCAATTTTGCTCCCTCAGGCGCATGCACCAGGCGCAGGCGCGTCATGGTCATGACTTGCCTGTTCGCGCAAGTTTCCAAATGCTTGTAGCAATAAATGTGTATAATGCCTTGCCTATGAATTAGTGATTTTGTCCTTAAACGGACCTTTGCGTACAACACCGTTGGTCCCCCGAGACAGGGCTGCTGTCTTAGCCAATCGGCTAGTACCTCTCTAAATCGCCCCTGCATTTAAGAAAGGTTCTTCTGATTATGCTGCCAGGATCTCCTTTTGTAAACAGACACAGCTTTTTCCAGTAGTCCGTCGATATGGCTATTATTTATACTAATTCAATAACTCTGCTGTAAGTAGAATTAACAATCATTCAAATACGTATAAATCCGTACAAGTGCTTCACTGTTGACTCTTTTAGTTTGGGGAACGAACACGACACGTTATGGCCTGTATTTCGTTTCATAATGTTCCTAATACGATGTGTTATGCTTATTTTAATTTACTTTAACACACAGTAACGGTTGTATCTGGTCTTTCTGCGTAGAAGCCTTTTCTTTTTATTTTGGCTTGCCAATCAATCTGCTGGATATCATCATTAGTTTTTTTTTAAGAATTCGTCTTCGGTTTTATTTGTCCATGTTGGCAAAAAGGCTTCACAGGATGCGCTCTTCATGAACTCTTGCTTGCGTACACCAATTGTCAACGATGAATTAGCTAAGCATCGAGAAAATTCAAAGTTTTCAAAACCCTATGGTGTCTTTTCCAGCTAACCAGAAACTTATTGCAAATTGATTGGAAAGTACCATGATCAACATACTAATCAATTCTAGCTACTGAATTTTTTCTGCTAAATCTAAGTATTTACAAAGCGTGCCTCTGTCAAGCTTATGTTTATACTGTTTTGCCGGTTGTTTTTCTAACTGCATCTGTTTTACAGGCTGCTTCTTGATGACAGACTGTCAATTACAGGATGCACCCGAAATCGTCCGTGCGATTTTCATGGGTGGCCGTTCGGAAGTACTGTCAGCCTTGGGGAAGGAAGATGTTAACTTT